GTTCCTTTAGAAATGATCTGTCTTTTGGCAACCTAATGTCTCTTCTTGGAGTTCTTCATGTTATGTTTTCTCATAGCAAATGTTATCGCCTTACTATAAGCGTTAACAGACACTGTACAACAACATCCAAGCCTTAATTCCAAACGATATATGAGCACAGATAATGATAGGTGGAGCCTACCTGCCTACGGTACACTTATATACTTCAATATGGTGATATATGAGCGTATTCCATACATATCCCATACCAATACCCACGGATACGCATACTATATACTATTATATTATTAGTTAATAAAAAAATTAACTATTACTATGGATTTCACAGGAGAGAAAGAATAGCCTACTGGAACACCTCGTTCTTCAAGTGCACCTTTCATATCTACTCCCTCCGTCCCTAATAACTTTGCCAAGTTTGACCGGCACGGGGATTAATAAAGTAAAAATTGTGTGGTTGAGGTTTGTGCAGAGGAGAGAGAATTAATAGGAATCACAAATTCTTTACTTAAATGAGAAAGTGGCAAAGTTAATGGGACATCCAAAAAAGAAAAGTTGGCAAAGTTATAAGGGACGGAGGGAGTATACATTAGAACCTAGTTATTCATCTCAACAGATCAATCTTCTTTTCTCATATGATTATTATGTAAGTGAGCAGCATAAGACGTGAGACGTTGATAGAGATGATTTCGGTAAGTACGAAAGATACCAGAGTACTTGAATTTATCAATCTTTCACAGGGGCGTATCCAGGGTATGGCAGAGGGGCAGCTGCCCCACTCAACCCCCACCCAACTCCTATATATATATATATCCAATTTAAAATTAAACATATATTTTTGTGTTAAATATACTTAGGTTATACAGTAAACATGAGAAATGTAGTCAAATGTGTTTGTAGTGGACCGGAAGTAAAGCGGAAGTAAGTTTAGGCCAAGTACTTGTAGTTCTCGCAGGTCAAGGGTTCTAGTCCATTCTTTGTTTTCTGTTTTTGTTTTTGTTATTTGTTGCTTTTGCCCTTCAAGTCTTAAACAAATTCTAAGTGGTGTTTTACACTATTCTTTTTAACTTTTTTATTGTTGGAAAGGTCTAAACTACATCAATATAGTTACCATTCTAATTTCACATATGAAATGGTTTTGTACATAATATAAACTATTTTTTTAATATACTTGTGAATTTTCAATTTAAATCAATTCTAAGTGCATGTTTGATCCTCCCCTTAGTTGATTCATTTAATTAAACATGATATCATAATGTTTTTGTCTAGAGACTATTTTGTTATTTATAATTGATTTTACAAGTTTTTTTCTTAATATGAATAGTTTAATTTTTCTGGATACGCCACTGATCTTTCACTTAGATAAGGAATTAAATGTTATTTAAATTTATATACGAGTACTTTAGTTTTTTTGAGACAAAACTTTGAAATTTTATTAGGTATTTATGGTATTGCTGTTATTATTTATGAACATTCGAGTTTTATATGTTTTCAAATCAACTCCTATATTTTTATTATTTGCAAATATAATCTCGTATATGTACCATATCACGATACATGTATTCACGTATTGGTGTATCTGTTTCTGTAATAACCTGAGAGTGGAGCAACAACCACGAAGCGAAAGTGGATTTATGAGTGTAATAGGAAGAAGATAAAAGCGATAAATTTGGACTTTGTCACAAAAAAAGAAGGATTACGAAACTTTGAACTTCTTTTTGTAAAGATGTGTATAGAATAAAAAGACCTTTCCACTATTAATAAAGAAGTTTAATGAAAAAAGGATTGCCTATAGAGGAGAATCATTTGACTTCGGGGTTCCAGTTGATGGGGTGATGTCCCCTATTCCCAAATTGTAGAGCTATCATTACATGTATTTAGAAAATAATGAAAACTTTGAATTTATGTGCCTCAAGTGCATCTCTATCCATAAAATTATTAAAAAATCAAGTTGGTTATACAACAGATTATTTCTGAAATCATGATTGTTGAGAGAAAACATTTAGTGAGAGTACATATTATTTTAAGATTATTTGTGAAACTATGGTTAATCAGTGAGTGCAGAACTCACAAAAAGATCATATTATTTTGACATGAATAAGCATATAGAGGTTGTGAGGTTCATTTAAAAAGAAGCGGTGTCAATATATTAAAAATGAAAATTCGAAAGAAGCATGTCAATATATTAAAAATGAAAATTTCAAAGAAGCATGCTGTAAAGACTAAAACCATGTGAAATTATGAAGTCTATTTGATCTCTCCACTCATTGTATCCAAATAATTAGTGTGCAATCCCTCTGAGTCATTTTATGTGGTTGGTGTAGCTTTTATAAAAGAAAAAATATCACAGGATTGATTTTTTATGCTGTTATGCAAGAAAAGGGAATGGAAATGAAAAATTGTAATGTACGATGTTCTCCATTAGGGTGGGCAAAATGGTTTGGTTTAACCGAATCGAACCGGACCGAACCGAAAATTGGTGGCTTGGTTTGGTTTGGGTTTACTTAAGTAAACCGTTTGGTAAGAATTTGCTCAAACCGAATGGTTTGGTTTGGTTTAAAACCGAAAAACCGTAAACCGAACCGAACATCGAACAACTTATATACTCCGGGATATATCCTTTATATTTATCTTCACTCTTCATTTTTAAGATATATATCAATAAACAATTTAGACATAAAAAATACATATTTAACATATATAATTTTGATTATTACACATTTCATATATTCATTATGACAAAGTTAGCTAATAATACGACATATTTGTATTTGTTAAGTTTGGTGATAACAATAGCAGATTGGATTTATATTTTTTGATGATTCATTTGAATAAAATTGTGAATATTAAAACATTTGTACCACCAATTTCTTTGTTTTTTTGGAATATTTTATGTGATACTATGTATTATAAATGTTAATCAACTATAATCTTATTTTTTGTGAGAAGTGAATCTTTTTCTACTGATTGAAAAGATGTTAGAAGTTGTAGTTTATAATATTTAATTGTGTATTTTTCTATCGTTTATTTCCTTTTACATTTTATTTAAATATTCAATACAAGAAGATGAGATGAACTACTACTTTCATTTTCTAAATCTAAAATATAAGAACTTGATCAAATAATATTATACGGAGTAATAAACATAAGAAAATGAATGAAGTCGAACTAAATTAAACCTAATAGTTTTTACTTTGGTAAACCGAACTTCAAACCGAACCGAAACCGAACAGAAACCAAACCGAAACACAAATGGTTTTAGTTTGGTACAAATTCTCCCAACCCGAATAAACCGAAACCGACCGTAAACCGATTTGTCCACCCCTATTCTCCATTGATCTATTGAAGGTGTTTCCTTTTCACAGCCTCCTCAGAGCATTTTCAATGCTACAATGTGCACGATGCACTTGAGGCATGAGAGATAGTCACATAAATATTATCAAATAAATTATTTCTCTCCTTATTTTATACAAACTTAATAAGTTTTTCTCTGCAATGTCAACCACAATGTCAACACCTAGACGGTCTTCTTGACATTGTTGATAAAAACTTACTAAAATTGTATAAAATCATTCCAATAAGGAGAGAGATAATTTATTGGCTAATATTTATTTGGCTATCTCTTATGCCACATGTCCACTGTGCACATTGTAACAATGCAGATGCCTCCGATAGTCCGATGTGGCTGAATTTTCCTACACGTGTACTGGTGTACACTTGAATCTTGATGAACTATTAAAGTCTTAGGACATGTTTACTTCACCGGTTATTAAACGGTGCTTATTAAGACCCGTGTTAATAAGCGACGCATAAAATAAACAATGTTGTAAGACCGTGTTTACTTCAAACGGTTTAAAACACCGCTTAACATTAAAATGTCCAAAATAACCCTATACATAAATATACACACAAACATTCATGAACACAAGTATATAATATAATATGTGTACTCATACCCCTAACCCCTTACCCACCCTACCTTACCCCGACCCCACCCACCCCTACCCCCTACCCTACCCCTACCCTACCTACCCGACCCTACCCCTACCCGACCCCACCCTAACTTGTCCCTACCCTACCACAACCCTACCCCGACCCCATAGGCCCCTACCCCCATAGGCCCTTACCACATTGACCCCACCCCGACCCCAACTTACCCTACCTTACCCAATCCCGCCCCTACCCCTACCCTACCCGACCCACCCCCTACCCCACCACAGCTACCCTGCCCCTAGCGCCTCTATCACATCGGCCCCACCCTGACCCCACCACCCTAGGTATAGTGGGGTAAGGGGTGGGGTAGGTGGGGTGATTGAGGTCAGGTAGTGGTAGGGTGGGTCGAGTAGGGGTGGGGTTGGGTAGGTAGGGTAGTGGTAGGGTGGGTTCGGGTAGGTAGGGTAGTGGTAAGGTGGGTTCGGGTAGGTAGGGTGGGGGTTGAGGCGGGGTAGGGGGTAGGGTAGGCGTAGGGTCGGATAGGGTAGGGTGGGGTCGGGTATGTGGGTAAGGGGGGGTGGGGTCGGGGTAAGGGTGGGGTCGGGGTAGGTGGGGCAGGGATAACAATAGGTTAAGGGCAAGGGATAAATTCGGAAACTGAAAAAGCTTAAAGTGCCGCTTAATTAATACATGGGGGGTGGTATGCTTAATAAGCACCTCTTTCGGTTAGTAAGCGGCTTTTTAAGCAGTGTGCGTGTTTACTTCACCTGTTTTAGTAACTTAACTGTGACTTTAGCAGTGAAGTAAACGCCTCCTTAAAGATTAATGATACGGAGTAATTAAAAGAAAACAATATCCAAGCATGGTAAGAGTGCCGTCCTCGTTCATTGGAGCAACTTGTATCAAAGAAATACGTTCCGCAACTTCTGTCATACACTAAAAATCAGATCAGTTGAAGTTTGGTAAAAAGATAGTGCAACGGAATTGATAAGAAAAGATAAGATTCCATCAAAGAGCCACAAATATTCGCTAAACAATCGACAGATTTCTTCAACTCCTTCTTTTGGTGGCAATAAAACAAAGAAATGTGATTAACCTCGAGTTATTCATTACTCCGTTTTGTAATTTAGTTACAACTCAATAGCACTTTGGCTCATAAATCTTACTTAAAGCTATTGGTGCCAAATGCTCTGTTAGCACAGTTTCTCACCGTTACAACTATTATCAGATACAAGTGTCATTCAGAAAGAAAAAAGAAAACGAAAAGGAAAAGAAAAGAACCATATACTGAAATGTAGCAATTGTCTGTAATTGTGTTACAACACATAGTTTGGGACCCCTTCCCCCCCCCCCCACCCACCCCGGAGCCAATAAGTCAATCTGCCTTGCAGATAGGCCAGGGTGTGATAAATCATTGAATCCTCTCTAAACTGTGAACTCCAAAAAGTTAGAAAACAGCCTTAAATGTTGATTTTCCATTGGCCGCTTCTATAACCCAATGACATGATTGCCAACTCCCATAACATATTGGGGATGCTCAAAAGGTTAACCTTCGACCCAGGAATCTCAGTCCAATTCACACATACCTCAACAATGGGAACACCCAACCGTTTGCAGATATACACTAGTTCAACATCAAAGCACCACCTGCAAAAAGGTTAAGATTTGAAAAGGGAGCACTTCAATTTACAACCCTCTAATTTTATGGACATAAAAAAGCATGTTTAAAAAAAGACGTGGAAAATCCAGATTTGAGTTGCCATCTATGTTAGCAGTTTTTAGTGGGTATTTGGATCTGATTCTTAAAACTGTTTCTGCTCCTTAAGGGAGCAAAGCAGAAGTTGGAGTGTTTGGTTGAAAGTGCAGAAGTGATTCTGGTGCTCTAATTTACTCCTAGAATAAGTTTTTTTAGAAGCTGGGGAGATCAACTTCTGAAAACTGATTCTGATTCTGCTTTAAAAAAGAATCAGAAGAAGAATCAGTTCCAAACACCCCTTTAATAGATGATGACAGTGGAAGTGTGGAACTAAAAAAAATCATATTAAAAGACCTAAATGTCAAGATTTAATATATGCAAGGTTGGATACTATATTCAAGCCTAAATGTAAAGATCAAGTAGTAAAAAGGAACCTTTTCAAACGGATATTTGGGAAAAGTTTCCTGGCAGCAGCTCTGGTGAACATCTTGAACCCGCACTGAAATGCAGGCATAAACAAAAAAAATGCACCCAAGCACGCGTGAGGGAGTGCATAATTCATATATGGTCCATTTGGAACCCAGAAGAAATTGGGGGATTATAAAAGAGTTGTTTCAAACTCATTTCATTTATATATTTCAATTACACAGACTATGAAATAACAAATGTATAACTTTAAAAAGTTTTTACTCAAAATCTATGTAAATTTTGAAGAGTTTTATCAAATTTGATTTTCCTTTGTATTTTCCAACAAGGTAGATCCACACAAAAAAAAAAAAGACTAATTTCCAAAGCTTTAATTCTCTATCCATTCCCTACCATTTTCCATGATCCGAACATATCCATAGGGAGAGAGAAGGAGGTTAGAAGAAAGGCATGATACTCTTTCTTGAGTGCTTTAAATACCTGGGTATCACGGATTCCCGGTCCAGCAGCCAAGAGAACTACAATATGGAAACCTTTCATTAAGAAATTCCGGTACCACTTCCTCTGGACAAAGTACAAAGAAGTTTGACTAGTTAGAAAACTCGAAGCAAAATAAAATAAAAAAGGACGAAGGCACACAACAAAATTTATTAATTTAAAATAGGACTACTGAGAGGACTTAATAAACTCAACCGTTGCAAGAGCCTTCCCCTCAAGATGTGCTCGAGAGCCAAATGCAGCAACAGAGACATTTGAAATTCTTAAAGTTGAATCACTAACAACTGCAAGAATCTGACATGCAAATAGTTAGGTACTTTAAGGGTATATTAGGATTTCGAAAAATGCTAGGGAAAGGGAGGAAATGCTAAAGGAATTTTTTTTATTGTGTCTGGTTTTACCTCATGAAGTGAAAAGAAAAATAGTGTATGAGTAATGTTAATTGCAAAAGATAAAATGAGTTTGAACAAATTCCAAAAACAGTTTAGTTGAGTCAAATGTTTTATTTTCTCCCACATTTTTTTTCTATCAAAATTTCCTCTCTACAATCTTCACCTTTTTCTTTATGTTGCAAAACAGCCCTATGATAGCAACAACTTTGATAGACATAGTTCAGGGAATCCATATCTGGGCTTAATCAAACATATTTTATTTCAACTTAGCATTGTGTGATTTTAAAATACCAATTAATTTGGAAAGTGATAAATGTTGGAACCTCAAGAGGAATGTGATTTGGCTGCATTATGGAGGCTCTCACAAATAGGGTGCAGTTATCTAGCCTACCAAAAATAGTAATAATAACAATAAAAAATGTCACAAAACCTGATTCTCTAACTTCTCTAGATCATCTATGTTTGTTGCCCCATCAGCATCAAGCATCAGAAGTAGCTCACCCCGTGAGTGAAGCATTCCCTAATTTTTTTCAGAGACCACAGTCATTAATTGAACTGTCTAACAGAAAAAATCATGTTCTATAACAGAACATAATTCTCAAAATTAGAAAGAAGGAAAATTACGCTGCAATATTGGACTCACTTTTCTTATGGCTTCCCCCTTCCCATGATTCTTTCCCAGCAGAATAATTCTAACATTTTCCACAGTGTGCTCTTTCACAAATTTAAGAGCTACAGTTTTTGTTCTATCAGCACTTCCATCATCAACAATAATCACCTGTACATGTTACCCATATTCCCTCTTACAACAACATCCAAGTCATATTCCCTCTTACAGGATAAAAAAACAGAAACATTGTTGTGGAAGGTAACCTTCAAGAGCCATTTCACAAAATAAATGTAAATGAAAGCATAATATATCACATCTTATTTGTAATTATACCTCATATGTAAATGACTTGTCCTTAGCAGCGCGGCGCTGAAGATAACTGAAAATGAAATCCAAAAAATTGCAATTTTTTTTATATAATATACTGAAAGTTTAATAGGTTAAAGTCACTTTATATGATATAGTGAAAGTTTAATAGTTTAATTTCCAAGGTATCCATTGAATAATATCCAGCACTAAATAAACATATAATTGATTGGTAAATATTAAAATACATACTGTAGCATTTCATCAAGAGCTGTAGGAAGCCTATTCTCTTCATTGTAAGCAGGAATGATCAATGACATATACTTTTGAGCAGGATCAGAGATACTCGTACAGGGGACCTGCAATTTATTAATGCCTTAAAGCACGAATGAAAAATGGTTACTTCAATTGAAGCACTAATTGTTGTAATTTCAATCTTGTTTTGAACAAGGGAACTTTAAGATTTGCTCCATGCATATAAAGTTATATTTATTTATATCCAGAGAACCAGCAGTATACATATTTCCTCATCCTCCACAATCTATTCTTGTTCTGTACAGCTTTCAGATCAACTCAACTAGTCATTAATGAAAATAAAAGGGTCCGATTAAGCAGTTGGAATGGCACAGTACTCGCATTCACTATCAGATGATTCGCTCGTCTAATCTCCTAAATGAACCTTAAGAAGGTTTTCGAGCATTGACTTACAGGTGTCAACGAATTTGGATCTTCGAAGGCGGGAGGAGCTTCAACATGACTGGAAAATCGAGAATCACATATGACGAAGAGAAACACGCAACAAAATTCGAATACAAAATTAGGGTTGTAAATAAGAAGCGTACTCGTGATTGAATTTTCTTCTTAGAGTTTCGACCGCGATCGCAAATGACAATCCCAATGTCACGTATAATACCAACCAGAGAAGATGTTTAAACGCAAGCCAGATTGGATCCATGTTTCTATATCGTTGAGAATTGGGTGAGTTCAACCATTACAGGAGGAGGTTTATGCGTTAAGCAGCAACATTCCAAAAATATACTGTTTTGTGAAGTGAAACTAGTAAACAACCAAGAACAGTACAACGAAGCCCGTCTAGCTCAGTTGGTAGAGCGCAAGGCTCTTAACCTTGTGGTCGTGGGTTCGAGCCCCACGGTGGGCGTTTTTTTTTTCTCACTATGAGATGGGATTTGTTTGGTGTCCATTTAGTAGGCGATTGAGCTGTTTTTCGAAGCTAACCCTTGTTGGAATTAAAAGGGGAGGAGTTTGATTTTACACCCAGTTTTAAACAATTCTTGAAATTTTTGTCAAATGCCTTTAGTGTATGTCAGATTTAGTTTAAATTTTAAAAGAAATACTCCCTCCGTCCCATTTTGGTTGTCCTACTTTCCTTTTTGGGTTGTCCCAAAATGAATGTCTTGTTTCCTTTTTTGGATGAAATATGTGGTTCTTATCAATTCACTTTATTATACTCAAATCTCAACCACAACTTTTACTTTTCAACCACTTTATTAATAATCGTGTCAAATTGAAAGTGGACAACCATTATGGGACGGAGTAGTAGTTTTTTTTAACTCCAGGGGGTCTGGGGGACGTAGAGTAAACTGAGCTGAAACTTACTCCATTGAGTTTTGAACCCGAGACCTTCCATAAGGGAGAGTGAGTCGGCGACCAGCTAAGTTGGACCGCTTCCTGTTCAAAGAATTAGTTGTTTTTAACCATGATCAATTGTAAAAATATACTTCAATTGTTACCTAATGCGCATTGTGTATGGAATTATTAAACCAGAGAAGAATGATTTAGATATTAACATAAAAAGAAATGTTGTATATGATGGTAAAGTCTTTCAATATTTGTATGGTTTTTTGTTTGGTTACATTTGTTGGGTGTGTTTCGAAAAACAAATAAAATTAATTAAATAAAATGACTTAAAGAAAAAACAAGAAATGAGATGAAGCAGAATAAGCCAAAGCTCGTGCTACGCACGATTTCCTTAAAACGTATTTGTTGCCTCCCAGGGTGCTAGGAGCGTTGCAACGATCGTTTCCCAGGATACGATGACTTTGAACAATAGTTTAGCACTAAAACTAAAGTTCCAACGAACGTGAACAAAGCTCAGAACACAGAAGAGTTTTTATGGAATGCTAGAGGTGGTTTTAGCTCTGGAAATATGTGTACGAAGTGTATGAACGTGTGTAGTTTGCAAAGCACTTGCTAACCTTTTATAGGGGTGGATTATGGTGTGTTAATGGCTGTCTAAGATTTGAACGTGTGTGAACGTTGGACATCAATGTCCTAAACGTTGGGCATTGATTCCAGCCAATAAACTGCCCAAAATGTTCATATGAATGTTGGGACTTCAATGGCAGCATGTTGGCATTGATTCTCCAAGCAAGCTGTCCAAACCCGCAGCATTAAGGTACAATGCACCATTCTAGTTCAGCATGGAGCAAAAATAAAATAGGAACGTACCGGAAGAACAAAAATTAACGTTATCTTTAGAAGATAGATTTTCGGACGGCATTCGTGTGTGCAGGTCGCCCGCACATGCAAGTCGCGCTTTTTGTTCTTCGGTTTCGGGATTTGATTCAATTCGCACCCCCTCCTATGCGCGCGTGAGAGAGTCTTTCCCTTTAGGAAGCTTAACTCCTTGGGGGGGGGTCCTTTATAAAGGGTTCAAATTCCCTTATGATTTTCGGTATGGGAAAAACCCACACTAAAACCCACATTTTCCTAGTTTTCTCCATTCCAACGGGTAAACTTCGAAAAGTGATTTCTCATTCATCCGTTATTCGTTTTGAGCGTACCATATATCGAATTGTAGTCCTAAGCAAGGACAATCCGAAACCACTTTGACCTGACCCAAATCAGAAGTGGACCTCACTTAAAAAAATTGCCCCAAAATGACCATTTAATGCAATTTTAACACACTTTTTCTAACAACATTTTTCATTTTTTTATTATAACATAAATTTTGACATGTTTTGCAAATCATGAACATGTGTTGTGCATATGTCGTGTGTATAATGGTTACAAAAAAAACATCAAGAAAGAAACAAATTTGTATAGGAAAATTTATGAAAATGTAAGGGCACTTCAGGATATCCGATCCGCTCAAGTCTTCAACCTCGTGGGATTATGGAAGGTGAAAATCCTAGTTGTGTCGATACAATTCCTCTTAGAATTAGGGCTGCACCTCGGGCGGGTTGGGTCGGGTTTGCTATATTTTCTGGGCCTACCCGATTTGTTCGGGTTGACTATTAACCAACCCGCGGAACGCAAAATAAGTTGGTAAACCATGCCTGAACGGGTCGGGTATTAGGGAAAAAAATTACTTCGGGTTGCATCTTTCATGTGAGAAATTAATATAACCAATTTAAAACTCGATTAACTTGTTTCCAAAACACACAAACAAATACAAGTACTCGTATCTTTTATAAGCAAAAACATTAGGTAATAGTATTAAAACATCCTTCCGTAAAAGGAAGTTCATTTAGAAGGAAACGTATATAAATAATAATCACCTAGTCAAAATGATAAATGTTTAATTATAGTTCTAATATCATAAAGTCCTAGATAGAGCACATTGGTCTTAAATTGAAATTATTTAAGAAAATGTTGTAGCATAATAATAGTAAAATGAACTTCGGCCGGATCAGGTACTATCGGGTTTGAGATTTTAATTTCGCACCCCTATCCATCAGGTGCGGGTTCAAACATATTTAACCCATGAATATTTTTAAAAATCAAATACCCGATTAAATAGGGTCAGATGAGTTATGCGGGTTCAGGTTATTCTTGTTCAGCCAATCAAAACAAAAAACCCTAGAGTCATTTGTAATAACATCCAAATTCCTCTTCGTGGCCTCTATAAAAAATTATATTGACTCTTAATAGAATTTTATACACTATGCATATACACATTACTCATCAAGACAAGTTGTTATGGAAAAAAAAATCATTCATTATACGAAGTATGTACAACTCGTGAGTTAGTTGATTCATGGCATACTACGTATTAAATATTGGTGACAACTCCGGTACCCATTTAAAAATGGGATACTGTACCTGCCATGCATTTGATTGGTCCAAATCATTAAATCCTTTTAATTTAGATTAAAATAATTCAACTGCGTGATTCTGATTGGTCCATGTGGACAAAGATACGATACCTTATGGGTACCATAGAATCTACCTTAAATATTTGTAAGGGTATACTTCGTATTCGAGTAAAAAGATACTCACGTACCTCGAGAAAAAAGACACCCAAGTATATAGTGACTGAAGGCTCGGTCGGCGAAAAAGTAATTTTTTATTTTGTGTATTGAATCATTTAATAATCCAAATACGTAGGTCTGACTTATTTTTCTGACTTAATTGACTGAAATTATCATAGAAGATTGTTTTAATTTATATATTGATATAAGCTTCCCTCCGTCCGTCCCAAATTGTTTTGCAAAGTTAATATTTTTTGGTCTACTAATAATAAAAGTCAATATTCCATATCGATAATTAATTGAACTTGAAATAATTAAAATTTATATATTCAAAAACTACATTAAAATCTCTTCAAAGTTGTAAATTCCAAAATAGAATATAATTACTCCCTCCGTCCCAATTTGATGTTCCTGTTGCGCTTTACGATGCTTGACCGACGATAAAGCAAACAGATCCCTCTTCGCAATCAAATTATTTTTAGAAAAAAATTACATTTTCAGAAACTGCGTTAAAATCTTTGCAAAGTCACAAAAAGCAGAATCAAATTTGATAAAAATTTGATATATAAAGTAAGATATTAAGAGTGATTTGTGTTGACCAAGTGAATAAGAATTGGGAACATCAAATTGGGACCAAGGTAATAAAATTTGACATCTTAATTAAGAAAATAAAATGAAACTGTTTGACTAAAAAATCAAATTTCCAAATCAATTTGGGACGGAGGTAATACCTAGTGTATTTTAGAAACATTTTTTTTTTTTGAGAATTCAGCAAATTTTAGCAAACCAACTATCAATCTCTTGGTCAAAAAGAGATCAGCCAATTACAAGCTTAATTAAATCCCCTATTGTGTGTAATCAAGAAGAGAACAGGTGGCGGTAGAAGGCCGTACTTTAAAAATAAATGGAAGATAGTCAACGACACCTTTTGGGTTTTAGAGTCTAAGGCCTACTCTTCCTGAGTGGAAAGCTAATTCTTACGAAGCCAAACCAAACAAGTAAAGCATTGAATTCAGAGAAAATGGACATTTCTTTTCACATCTCTGCGTCTTAATCTTGCTTCATCTGTGGGTTGGCTTTTTTTCAAGATAAAAAGAAATCATCACAGAATCAATCAACAAATACTGCAATTATATATCCTAAGCTTGTTCTAATTCATGGGAATGGTGGGATCTTGCTTCAGTGCCCGAATTAAGGCAGAGAGCTCTCCCTGTGCTGGTAAAATTTTGCTCTTCATATTTTTATAAAGCAAATTTCATTCTAGTTTTTTTACCAAATTGATCCCGTTTGAAGCATATAACAATAACTCCGATGATCATTGCTAACCTACCATTTACACACTATAAAGTGTAAATTTAATGAAGTGAATTTAAAGCTGGTTTGAAGAAGGAAAACTATAAATACTGTTTCTTTTTTGATCCAGGCGATATCAATTTAGAAGGGTAGCGTTTTTTAGGCTCCATTTAATTAACGGAAGATTATTTCTTGGGAAAATGTTTGGTTTTCCAATATTTTGTTTGTTTTACATTTCTTCAGAAAACGGCTTAGTTTCATGCAATCAAACGGAGCCGTAGATAGACACGTGCGTTCGGATCAAGTCCTCGTTTCATCTCTCATGTCCCACCCAATAATTCAATATACTCCTTATATATAATATGCAAGAAATTACGTCTCATTATTTTCTTTTCAAAATATGGCTCACTTACTTTTATTTCGAGAAATTTTTATTGTTTATTCTTTTAATATGATTTTAAGAATAAGATATATTTAGTTTTATTTTAGAACTTTGATCATGTTTTACTTAACAATTTCTTATAAAATTATCTCGTT